CTCCCCTGGGGGCCCTGCGGTGGGGAGGGAGTGGAAAGGGACATCTGGATTCCTCCTATTATCGGGAAGGGGCATGGCCCTTATTTGAAAATGAGGACACAGGACACAGAGACAGGGGCCTTGGGTAGCTAAACTGGGGTCACCCGGCTGGGCCCTGGGGTCTGTCCCCGGCTGGGCTGACCCTGCACTGTGGGCACTCCCACAAAGAGAGCACTGGCCAGGTGTTTCCATGGGGCCTCAGGCCTCCTACAGGCCACCTGGGATCTGTTCTCGTCCACCCAGCAGCCTTGCAGGCCTGGGCCTTCCACTTTCCAGGTGAGGAAACTGAGGACTGGGGTGGGCGGAGGGGGTGAGCCCCATACTGAGCAGGGTCAGGGTCCGATTTAGACCCAGACTACCATCCCCTGACTCACCCCTGGTTTCCCTATGGATCGGATCATCGGAGACCTTCAGGGTGTCCCGGCGGGGCATATGGACCCCCAGCTGAATGAGGCACAGGAATGTGGAATCAGGGAAGGCTTCCTGGAGAAGGCAGTGGACTCAGCAGGTGTGGAAGCCTGGGTGAGCATCCTGGGAGGCTGAGGCCAGGAGCCACCCTCACAGGGCCTCGAACGCCGCAAGGGCCTCAGCCTGGATCCAATTCACTGGGAGGCAGGCTTCTGCCAGAGGTGACCTTGTAGGCCTCCCTCCCCGGGTCCCGCACCACTAACTGCTCCCCCAGCCTTGGAGGAGGGCTCAGGCCCAGAGCACCTGCTGCAGGTGTGGCCCAGGCTGGAGGGCCGGGGGAGGGTGGGGGTGACTGGGGAGGGTGGTGGTGCCCGGGGAGGGGGGTGCCTGGGGAAGGAGGCCCATCACCGGCCTTCCAGAACTTTGCTGACACCCTCCAAGGGAGGCATGTGCGTGAAGGGCGATGCTTTTGGTAGCGACCCTTCCTGGAAGGGACCTGAGGCTTCAGGCAGGCCTGGGGGGCGGGGGGGAGCCCCTCTCCAGTCTTGCAGCACCCCGACTGTCTGATGACACTCCATGCACCCTCCCCGCTGTTCCTCCGCCTGGAGCTTTTCCCTGCTCCCTCCCTACCCCGCATTACTTCTTCCAGGCCTCCCCGCCGCCACCCACCGGAAACCTTCTCAGCGGGAGAGTCTGGAGGGTGGGGCTGGTGGGGGAGGGGTGGGGGCCGCTCCAGCCTCTTCCTCCAGCGCGGGGACAGCCCGGTGCCGGTGCCGGGCCGCATCCATTTTTCTCCTGGGCAGAGTGAACCCTCAGTGAGCCTTGCCAAGCTCTGCAGGGTGAGGCCCGGCCCTCACCCCGGCATTCAGTGCCCTCCCGCCTAGCCTGGGCCCTGGCGACCCACTCGGCGCCCTGGGCACCAGCCTGGAATTGATTTCCACCGGTCCTCCCAGCCAGGAAGGGTTGACACCTCCTCTAGGAAGCCCACCCAATTATCCTGTTGGGTCCAGGCTGTCCCTGTCATTCCCACCCTGCCCCTGGTGCTGGTCAACCGGGTTTCATTTGAGTTTGGCAGCCTGAGTGCTGTCACCGGTGACACTGGGTGTGATATTTGTTTAGTGAATGAATGAATGAGCCTGCAGAGGCCCCACCTGGAAGGTGCATAATAATAACAGTGCCGGCGCCTCCGGGTCTCCCCACCTGCATGGTCATCCCGCGTGGTGCTCAGGCCTTTGCAAAGCTCGGGGAATGAGCAACGTTCCCAAATCATCGGACCCCGTCCTCTCCACCCAGGCTTGTGGCCCCACCAAGTGACGGGAGGCTGCGTTCCCCCCCCCCCCACTTCCACTCACTGCTCGCTGGGTGTCTGCTGTGTGGCCCACAATGTAAGGATGCTGGTCCCTGCCCGCGGGGGGCCCCCAGGCCTCTCATTGGCAGGGGTGGGCGTGTCCCAGCCTCTTGGCTCTTCTCCAAACTGCCCCCCATCCCCGTGTGTCCTGTAGCTGTCCAGCCGCACTGCAGATACCAGTCCTGCCGCCTGGCTGCCTCCAGCCCTGCCACGTAGGGGCCCAGGGCAGGTGGGGAGACGGGCCTCAGCCCCGGGCTGCCTGGAGTTTGAGCTTGGTCTGCACCAGGGGCCGGGGGTGGGTTGGGTGGGGGGAGCAGTCACGGAGGGCAGGCCCAGTCTGTCCCCAGCCGAGGTGCTAAGAGCATCTGCTGTGGGTCAGGCACCTGCGGGACGCTTGAGATCCACACAGCATGGTTCATATGAGGAAGGGGAAGCCCAGAGAGGCTAGCAATACGCCCCAGGTCACACAGCATACAGTTGGTAGGGCTGGGAATCAAACCCAGGTCCGCTGCTTCTGGCCCAGGCAGGGTAGGACCAGGGTGGAGGGCTGGCATCTCTGGACCTGGGGTTTGTGCACAAGGGCATCGTGGGGGTGTAGGGTACCGGTAAACGCCCGGGCTGCCGAAGGGTGACATAGCCTCCCGAGGCCAACCTAGCCATTATTGGGTGAGCTATCTGCCTGTTTATTTTTACGATCGTCCTTGGTTTCGAGGCATCTGCTGTAGAACACGGCCTGTTGTTTTGGGCTGGTCTGAGCCTCTCTGCTCTTTCCACCCAGGGACTGCTGGGTCCCTACTGAGGTCCCCAAGAGGGGCCGGACGGGCCCTGGGTCACCTAGCAGGTCCTAGGTGGGGCCAGTCGGAACCTCCGTCCCCATCCTGGCCTGGCTCCCTGCACCCAGCTCGGGGAGAGGGGTCATGGAGGGTGTGGGTCGAGAAGGGCAGCTGGGCTCCGTCGTGCCTGGTCCTGTTCATAGTCCACCATCGGAGAGCCCTTGGCTCTGGGGAAATGCAGGTTTCCCGGGGGGGCCGGGGGGGGCGGGGACAACTCCCCGCACACCGCCGCGGGGGGGCGTTCCTGCAGGAGTTCCCGTCCCTGCGTGCTGGTGGCACCTTACACCCTCCCCCACAGCCTCTCCAGGGGCAGCCAGCACCACATGGCACAGGGCAGCCGGTAGGTCCTCAGCCTGGTCCTCTTGGCCCTGGCAGATGCTGTTGCCTCTGCCTGGCATGCCGTCTCTGCCCTTGTCACCTGGTTGCACCCTGGTCTCCAGCCTACGTGGCCCTCCCTCAGCCCCTGGACACCCCTCCACCGAGGGAGAGCTGTAGTCCCACAGTTCATGGGTTGTCTTTGAGATGACCCCTCCTAGGTTCCCATGGACTCCTCCCGGCTGCCCCTAATCCATGTTGCTGGCCCTATGTTGCCTGTGAGGACACGAGGTACAGGATGGTTGAGTGGTGTGTCTGGATCACCGGTGGGGGTGGGGGTAAGAAAGTGGCTGGGGGGTGGGCAACGGGCTGGGGGGGCAACGGGACTGGGGGGGGGGAACCCGGGGGGAACAGGTGTTCCAGGCGGTAGGAGGAGCAGAGCCAAGGCCCGCCCTGAGGTGGGAGCTCTGGGCTCAGGACCCTGGAGAGGCCTGTGGGGCGGCCTCGGTGACAGATAGGATGGCTCTGGCTTGACTTGCTGTGGGGCAACTCCCAGGGTCGGGTCTGCTGAGCGTCTGTTGAGCCAGCACACCTCCTCAGGGAGGCCCTCCCAGGTCACCCAGATCCCTGCTCTACCTTTTCTTTTCATGTAGCTTGTTTTTTTGTTTTTGTTTTGTTTTTTTTGTTTGGTTTTTTTTTTTTTTGATTTGCTTGCCTGTTTCTTGTCTTTCCCTCCCGGACTGGCGGACTCATGAGGGCAGGGCCTGGCCTTCAGGACTGCAGCTGAATGACCAAATGAATGATTGTTAAAGGGTCCACTCCGGCCCCTTTGAGCCTTAGTCTCCTGGTCTGTGAAGTGGGCAATGTTGCCCCCCCCCCCCGCCCCACATCAGGTGTCCCAGGACAAAGTGAGGCCAGATGCGCCACTGTGCAGGTGCTCAGAAAACCCCAATCCCCTTCCCCATACGCGCTCTAGAAGCAGGAGTCCTTGCTGTTGCCGAGGCTCAGCGAGGGGCAGTGACGTGCCCATGGCCACACAGCTGCGCGGCCCCTGGAGGGGAGGGGGTGGCACCCTGAGTGACCCCCTGGCTGGGAGTGACGAAACGTTGGCAGGAGATTATGGGGGCCAGAGGGCAGGGCTAGCGGCCTGTCTGCCCGAGGGCTGTGAGCCGCCACCACTGTCCCTTCGGTCCCTTCCTTCCCTCCGTCCTGCCTGAGATTGCACAGCTGCTCCTTGTCTGTCCCGCCCGGCGCCCTGGCCACAGGCCAGTTCCCACCCTGTCCGCCCCCCTCGGGACCCTGTCTCTGCTGCCCTTCTCACAGGGCAGTTACCGCCAGCCAGAGCCGGACGGGGGCAGTGCCTGCTCTGAGGTTCACGTGGCGGGGGGCTGGGTGGGCCAGCCGCCCTGGGCCTCAGTTTCCCCCTCCCCCAAAAGCGTGGGGGAAGGGCCAGGGCTGGAGCACAGGGTCCGAGCTGTGGGCTGGTGCGGCTAGGAGTCTGTCTGCATGAACCCCTCAGCCCCCAACCCTGCCCCAGCCTGGGGGACAGTGGTGGCCATGGTCTCAAAGCGGCTCAGGCACCCAGTCTCTTCCCTAGCCTGGCCTCTGGGGCCACCCTAGTGCCTTGACAGGTGGGAAAATCGAGACACAGCTTTGGGCGCCCTGCAGATGATCCGTGAGGGTGCTGAATGAGTGAATGAATGAATGAATGAATGAAATCCAGGCAAGTGGGGAGCCAGCAGCACAGGTGGGGCTCTGGGGTCAGGAGGGATGCTCCCACAAGCCCCTGGGAGCCCTTCCTTCCGGGCTCTTCACCCAGCCTGTCCCCCTGTGACCACCTACTTGCCCCTCCCCCTCTGGGTCTCAGTTTTCCCATCTGTACAATGGCCCCCTACAGGGTGAGACCTCAGAGCCCCTTTCAGGCTCTGAACTCTCCCCTGCCCAGGTCTGGGGGCAGTTTGTCGGCCCCTCACCCCCTCCGCTGCCTGCCTGGCCGGGCAGCGAGGACACGCCAGCTGGGGGAGGCCCAGTCCGGCTCTTGGGGGGACTCACCGCACCTTGGCCTATGCTGGCGGCTTGAGGCAGAGCTGGCACAGAGTAAGCCTGGACGACCTCCCTGGGCGGCTCTGTGGGCCACTCTGTCCGGCAGCCTGCAGCCGACCGCCTTCCTGGGGCCTGACGTCAGGCCGACGCTGGGGCTCCTTTTGGGCAAAGGCAGAGGGGTGGGGGCGGGGTGGGGGCGGGGTGGGGGCGGGGCGGGCTCCTTCCCCCGCCAGGCCGGCCCCCTGGAGGAGCCGTGGCTGGTTCCAGGGCCCTGGGGGAGGGAGCCTAGGGGAGCTGACTTTGCAGCCCAGCCCCCGGCCGGATAGAGGAGGAAACTGAGGCAGAGGGGGTGGAGCCAAAGCTGCACCACCCAGGTGGGGTGGGGGGAGGGGTGCGGGGTGGGGGGCAGGGGAGCAGTGGAAAAGGGAGGGTGGCGCCAGCCCTGGCTCTCTGTCCCCCCAGCACCTTGTCTGGGGAGGCTGCCGGGCCCCCAAGAGCGTGGCTGGCACCATGGGCGGTGGGAGCACCACGCTGCAATCTCAGTTTTCTCTCCAGGAGCCACAGATGCTTCCTGGCTACCTCCGCTCCTGGTGGTTCTCCGGGTTCCCGGGGTACGGTCTGGGTTTTCTGTTTTGCATGTTCTGAGCCTGGGTGTGCCTGTGTGTGCCCGTGACCGGGGACCTGCACACTCGGTATCCGGGCCTCCCCGCTTGTGCCCCCTCCCGTGTGTCCTGCGTCCCTGGGGCGGATGTGGCCTTGCAGGGGCACACGCACGCCTGAGTGTGTTTGTGGGGTCAGCACCAGCCCGGGGGCCCGTTCGTGACCTCGTGACCTAGTGTAACCTCTGTGGGGACGTGTGGGGTCGGGTGCGTGGGAAAGACCCGGATGTGACGAGGGCCAGTGGGATGGGGCAGTGGGTCGTAAATCTCGGTAGCCAGGCCTGATCTGGGAGTGGTGGCGGGGACAGACATCCCTCCCCAGACAGACACCCTGACCAGGGTGGTGGCTCGTGGGTGAGCCCGGGTCTCAGGGTCCGAGGGCGGCTGCGACTGGGGCCAGGAAGGGCTCAGGGTCAGGTCTTTGCTGGGTCTCCTGTGCCAGAGTGGCCTCTCTAGTCTCCTGTCGCTGGGCTGCTCCTTGCTCATGCAGTGGGACCACCCGGCACCCTCCACCCAGCACCTACTGAGCCGGCCCATGCCGGGCCCTGGGGTCAAGGGATGCTGGATGCTGCCTGACAGATGAGGACCCTGGCCCCTGAGATCTCAGTCTGGTGAGGGACACTTGCAACCAGCAGCCAGTGGGGAGGAGTGTGGTCGGGAGGGCTCCTGGAGGGGCAGTACAGGAAGGAGGGGAGGGGAGGGGAGGCCCTGTGGACAGGGGAAACTGCGTGTCAGGGTCCCCAGGAGTGGGGGGCGGGTGGGGAAAAGCAGCGAAGCTGGGAGTGATCAGAGCCCCTCCACACTGGGTCTTAGTTGCCCTGTGGGAACCAGAGTGGTGGACTTGACCCTGAGGGCAGTGGGGAGCCATTGAAGATTTGGTGGGAGGGTGGTCCCCGGAGCAGCTTCCCTGCTCCCAGGTCCAGGCTCCCTGCTAATATAGGGGTGAGCTCACAGGCTACCGCTGATCATCTCCTGAGACTACTGTCCTATGCGTCTCAGATGGGGAAACAGAGACCCAGGAAGGTGACGGTGTCTCTGGCCCGCCCCAGGCAGGCAAGGGAGGGCGCCCAGGATCTTGCCAAGGGAGTGTAGATTCAGTGTTGTTTCTGAACAGGGCAGCCTGGAGGCGGCCAGGATGTGGGTGGGGGCCCGAGGGCTGAGCCAGTGCAGGCTCACATTTTACGAGCTGGAGACTGCCGCTGAGTCACGGGCAGGGCCGGCCGGGCACACACAGGCTGGTTCCCAGAGAAATCTTGGGGAGATCCTCTGGAACAAAACAAATGCCAGCAGACTGCCTGGGGGAGCAGGGTGGCAGCCTGGGTCGGCTTCCAGGACCCCTCGCCCCAGGGAAGCTCCTTTCTGTGGGACCCAGCAGTCCTGGGGGGGGGGGCGGTGGGGGAAAGTGCTGGAGGCCGGGAGGCTCAAGGGGACCCTCCCATAGCCCTCGACAGGCTGGGTCAGGCCAGGCTGCCTGTGGCTGGGGTCAGAGGTCAGACAGTGGCTGGGTCAGGATAGGGCCGTCCCTCCTAGGGCCCAGCCTGGAGGAGAGCCCTCCCTGAGCCCACAGAAGCCCCTCCCGCTCTCAGCTGGTGCTGTAGAATTCTGTAAAGCTGTCCACACGGTGGCCCTCTCGATGCCCAGCTCGTCTTGCCACTCCTAGAGCCCGCCATCCTGAGGGACTCAGCCACAAATAGCAGCCGGGCAGTCGGGTGGGGGCTGCGGGGGAGGCAGGGGACACTTGGTGACAGCCAAGCATGTCCTGTCACCGTCCTGGTGCCTCCCGAGTGGCCCTGTCTTGTTGCCACTCGAGGACGTAAACAGTGCCGGGGTGAGGCTGCGGGGGTGGGGGACACAGCCCGGTTCTGCAGGGGGACTGTCCCCGCTGGAAGCAGTGTGGGGAGCCCCCAGCCCTGGGGCCATCGGGAGCTGGTGAGAAGGCCCCTCAGGGCCCTCCTAAGGGGTCAATGGCCACGTGTCCCCTTCTGTGCTCTGGAGCCCCTGGCAGGGGCCAGTCACCCGTGGGGAGCGCAGGGTGAGGGGGGCCTTTCTCTTTCTCTGGGAAAGGTGACCTCGAGTGTCCGAGGTGGGGTGTTGGGAGGCTGGGAATGGCGGGGCCCCTGGGCGGGCCTGGTTCAAGCCTGGTTGGGCCGCTCGCTCGTGTGCTCTGGCCCTCAGTGTCTAGAGGGCAGGCCCTTTGAACAGGGATGAGGCCCGCGTGGGGCAGTTTCCGGATCGGGGAGGACGCGGGCTGGGAGATGACTCCCTCCCTCACCCTGGGCCCTGGGGCTAGTCTGGGCCACGCACCTAGAATCCACCCACCTTGTGGAGAAACGGGGGCACTTAGCAAGGGCCCAGCGCCTAGTTGTCTCGAGGGTGCGCTCTGAAGCTTTGGGGCCATCCCGGAGGTGACTCCCGGGACCACCGTCCCTGGGACTTATCCCCCAGTTCCCTGGACCACTCTCCCATCACCCAGGAGCTCATCTTGTCCCACCTTTGATTTTTCCAGGTGGAGAAATAGAAGTCCAGAGAGGGATAGACACCTGCCCCAAACCACCCGGCGAATGGGTCATGGCAGATGCCGGTGGGAACTGGGCCTGGGCTTCCAGGCAGCCCTCGGCTGCCGTGTGGCATCCCTGACTCGGGGGCCCGTAGGCGGCCGGAGTGACCAGGGCAGGACTGTTCGACCTCCCACTAAACTCAGTGTCTGGGACCGTGAGAACCTTCCTCGTGGGTTCAGTGAAACCACTGCCACGTTCCTACAACAGCCTTGAAAGGCGGGTGCGATTATGATTCCATGTCGCTGGTGTGGCAACTGGGTCCCAGAACCAGGTCACCGATCGGTCCTCCAGGCAGAGAGCAGCTGCTAATTCAGGGCCACCGCATATTCTGTCCAATCTCAGCCCCGAAGTGCACGCGTCCAAGCCTCACCCCACCCCTGCTGGGCTCTGCGGCGGCCCCTGTGTGCACGCACCTGCTCGTGCACACACGCACCTGCATGGCGCATAGATGTGCACACACAGGTGCACGTGCATGTGGCCCTCCAGCCTTAACATCAAGTCCTCTCCCGTGCATCCAGCTGGGCTGTGCCTTTGGGGGGAGGAGGCGACGGCTCAGGTGGCATGGCATCTCCCCTGTGTCCCGACCTGGCCTGCCTGAATTTGGCCCCCTCCCCCCCCCCCACCACCCTAGCCAGTTGGGGCGGGGGTGCATATGGATGGTCCCTGGGCCCGCAGAGCCCATCCAGGACCAGCTCAGGGGATGCTGGGAGAATGGCGGGGTTCCCCTCAATGAGGATACACCTGCCAGTTTGCCCGGGGGGCTTCCCGTGTGCCCCAGTCCAGGCCTGCACCAGGACCAGTTTGTTTCATCGGCCCTGTCCCTGCAGGGGGAGGGGGCTGAGCCCCTGGCCTCCCCTGGGCTCTCACAGGGCTCCCGAGGACTCAGGATGGGGACTAGGAGCCCTGGGGCCCGATGTGGGTGCCCCCACCGCCTTGGGACCCTCTACACCTGGGACTGAGAAGGGGCGGAACCTTTGGGTCCGTCCGATGCGGGGGCTGCTGGGGCCACGTGGTCACCAGGGAGCAGTGACTGCAGTCCTTTCCGGGTCCTCAGCCCCCGTCCCTCCCCACAGCCTCCTGAGGTCTGGGGGACATGGTGGGAGGGCCCTGCTTATGCCCCAGTGGGCCCTGGGCACCATGATACAAAACAGTGCCCGCTGTGACCCCACTAAATTGACCCACCGCTGGGTCATGACCTGCGGTTTGGAAATAGTGGTCCAGGGGTCCGTCAGTCAGCAAGCAATGGTGACAGAGGCGCGAGAGTGACACCGCTGTTTATTGAGCAGCGGCTCTGTGCCCGGCATGCGTTGTCCTGAAGCACTTCAGGCGTCCACGAAAGAGCCCTCACTGGGGAGCGCCCTTGTTACCATCTTTGTTTGACAGAAGGGACTGGCGGAGTCACCTGCCCGAGGTCACGCTGCTAGGAGCGGGTGGAGCCGGGCCAGGCCTGCGGAGCCTTCGCTCAGAAGCTTCCGGAACCCATCCCAGGCAAGGTGGAGAGGACCCCACGCCCAGGGCAGGCAGTGCTGGGTTTGAGGTCTCTTCCAGGTCCAGGCCCCTGGCCTCGGGCAGCTGGACACCCATGTTCTGGAGGCCCAGGGCCAGGCACCCCAGCTGCCCCGGGCTGGGTGGGGCCGAGGCTCCCTGGGCACAACCAGACCGGCCCACCCAGGCCAGGAGGCGGCCGCATCCCCTGCAGGGCCTCAGGACCTGCTTTCTATTTCAGCCCTTCCTGGCCTTTGGACGGCCCCGTGGGACCGGAATTGCCGTATGTGTCTGTGTCTGTCTGTTCAGCAGGCCTCAGAGGGGCGGCCCCGGGACACCCAGGCTCCTCTGACTTTAGCTGCCTTGCTGACCCTGGCGGGGGGGGGGGGGGGCGGGGACGGCGAG